TATGATAATTTTTCATGTAGAAGGAAAAACTCCCAACTTTTTCAAAAGGAGTAATTCTAGGGAATACACAATGCTGTACAAAAAAAAAAAAAAATGCTGATTTTAGATCTCCACCTTCTAACCTCTCATATTCTATGTTTTATGTATAAAATAAAGCTCACTGAGAAGAAAAGAATATTTCAATCATTGTGCTTACAATAGGAAGCTATTTTCTTAAAACTGTTGAGAGATACAATTTTAAGGTGATAATTACACTGACTTTCGATGATGGAGAGTTACATTTTTTACTATGTGTTTATTCAAATACAGATTTTTAAAAATTTAGTACTCCTAGATAATGACATTTTGATATGCATTAAAACTGATATATGGTGATATAAATGATTAAAAATTTTATCATACAATTTAGCAAATTATTTATCAGTAACCAAGACTCTCACCAGATTATTATAAGCTACCATAGAAAAATAACTGCTAATCCAGAAAATAGGAAATAAGGGACATAGAAGATATAAAAATAAGCATCTGGGGATATGGAATTTATCCCATGAGTGTTGTAAAGAGCTCGTAATTTAAGCGTGCCAAAGCCCAAGTGTGTTATGAGGGTCTTTCCTCAAAAGCGACATTAATTGCACATCTCACAGATGCTTATTACATATTCTATTTATATCAAAGTATAAAACAAGGTCTAAAATATACAGATTCAATATATTTAAAAGTGATAATATAAACAGTTACTCTGACTTAACAGACATTGTTAATTATAAACTTTAATTTTTGGTCTCTTTACAAAAGAGTATTGTAGTAAACTGTTCTCACAGTTGATCATTTCAGTATTAATTTTTGAATCTACTATTATTAAGATCCTTTTAGAATCACATCAAGGTACGTGCTCAAGGTATGAAATCATAATACTAGTATTTTAGATGATTTGCACAGAAACAAACCCAAGGGATAAAATCACAGGGCATTCTTATTCTCATGCTAAAAATGAAGATACCACAAATGCAACTCTAAGAAATACCTTTAAAAGTGTAAAATAATGCAGTCAAATATTTCACTCTCGAAATTAGTCACTGTGCATTGATAGGTCCTTAAACCAAAAAAAAAAAAAACCCAAACTCACTGTCCTTGTTATTGTTATGTGCCCTCGAGTCGGACCTGATTCATAGAAACCAACCCCTTCTTGGGTTTCCAAGGCAGTATCACTACGGAAGTAGATTGCCCCATCTTCTTCCAAGGAGTGGCTGGTGAGTTTGAACCACCAGCCTTCTGGTTAGTAGTCAAGTGCCTTAGGCACTACGCTACCAGAGCTCCTCACTGTCCTTGAGTCGGATCCAATTCATAGCAACCCTTCCTTGGGTTTCCAAGGCAGTTATCACTACGGAATTAGATTGCTCAATCTTCCTTCCGAGGAGTGGTTGGTGGTTTGAACCACCAGCCTTCTGGTTAGCAGTCAAATGCCTTGGGCACTATGCCACCAGAGCTCCTGATAGGTCCTTATAGAATTTAATTAAAAAAAAAGCAATCAATACCTATCAATAAATGACAAACAAAAGACAACTCAAGATGTAAGTTATTTAAATTAAAGGAAGAGAAACTTCATGCTAAGTACAACAGGAGTAATCTTTCATAAAGATAATGAAAACACAGTGACCATTACTTTTAGGATATATTATTTTATAACATCACTTATGCAGTATTGAACATTTAACTGCATAAATTAAATTAAATTATCTTTGCTCAAACTAAAATAGTAAGTTCATTTAACATTTCCAATAGAAAAACAAGCTAAAACTATGCTAGAGATAATGCATCTAAAATATATAAAGTGGTAGCATCAATAAGTAAGCTATTACGTAACATTTAGGATTTATGGGTACTCGATCCCATATTTCAAAATAAATACATATTTAATGAAAATTAACCTAAACGAATTTGGAATGACCATAGTCAAAATTAGTACAATTAATAATTGTACACTAACCATTAATTGTGATTATGCTAAATAAATTCATTAACAAAATACAAGAAAATGTCTATACACATAACACATCTACCACCTCTAAAGGCATAACATATTTACATCACAGTGTATTTTCTTACAGAAGTTGAACAAACACTAGCTTTAAAAACTGAATAATTGCTCTAGAGCAAAGATCACCAGTTAAGATTTCTTTTTTTTTAAATTGAGTAATTGCTAACTTTTTTCTTAACAATTATAACCTTATTAGAAAGCAGATTTAAATATTTTTTAATATACCATGCAACTGCTGAAGAGTGACTACAATTAGAAACCTAGACTCACTAGGTAGTATAATTTAGTCTTGGTAACTAACACTCTCTCTTCCATGTAAACATCTATTTATGATTTACTACTCATTCTACAGACATTGGTGGTATTGAAAACATTCTGCAATTGGCTCACTCAGTACTGACCTATTTACCATGTTTCTCCAATTCTATTGGAACATTTTAGTTTATAAGCAAATATTTTCTTTGAAAATCAAAAGTCTATAAGAGCTGGCATGTGAAAGCACACATCAGATGACACAACCATGGATTCTCATCATCACTCTGAAAAAAGCTATTAACTGACAGCTGATTTTTTTATATCTGTTCAGTTAATGACAAATTCACCCAAGCCACACACTAACTACTTTCAAGTATTGTTTTTGATCATAAAACTAAATTAACAACTTTCTGCCAACAGGAAGAGACAGTAGCATCAACAATTATTTAGATTCATAATACCTGTATGATATACAACAGAACAAAATCTTTCACATTCATTTCCATGAGATATACACCTACATTATTTATTAGGCTCAATGACATAAAATTACCCTGCTAGATTGCTATCAAAGTTTTAAAAGCTTTACTCTAATTCCTCTACTCTCTCTTTAGCAACACTGGTCTAAAGGATAGCTATTATCTGTGTTAAGTAGAAGCCCATATACTTTATTGAAGAAAACACAGAAAATCAAAACCAAAGTTGGAACGGTAACTTGAAAGAATGAATGACCTTTTCTTCAAAGATCAAAAAAAAATTTTCTTCTTAGACAATGGAGATGAGAGTCTATACAAAAATGATGTGACAAATAAGTCAGCTATGACCATGGCTAGCCCTGGTATGATCAGGGCTAATAAATAAACTAATAAAAAAAAGTTGGAATGATTAAGAGTGGTTATGTCACAGTTTATTGACTTTTATTGGGAAGATGCTGGTCAGATGTCAAAGCAGCTCTATGACTTATGATGAAGAGAAAACTGATGGAAACTAATGGTAGAAGAGGAAACTGGAAAATACTTCAATTTATATCATTATACCGAAGCCAATGCCATTATCATTGCAGTGAAAACACCAGCTCTCTCTAAGAGACAAAAAAAACCTGAGCATTTCAAAGAAATGATACACATGTCAAACATCAATTCTTTCCTTCAATATTTAAGAAAAATTTCTAGACTTCAGTGAAAAATTTTTGAGAGCATAAAATGAGCTTTTTGTTACCAATTTTTTGAATGCATAGCAGAGAGGAACACAGAATTGAACTCCTGACTGTGCGTTAGCTAATTTAAAATAAATTTTATGCTTATAATCACAAATGTATCATCTATATTTTTAAGTGCAAACAGAAATTCATTAATAGCCTACAGTGCTGCCCTGTACCCATGTCATACACATTCTCATCTCCAGCAGGAAAGATGGGGCCACTCTCAATGATGAGGTCAAGCTTAAGTCACAGAAATGAAAGCAGTCAGAATTTGAACAGGAAAATACTTATTCAATCACTGTTCAGTGATTCCAGAGAAGAAAAAAAGCTGAGAATTATTAGTAAAAGACTGTGTATAACATGAAAACATAAATGAAACACTCATTTGTATTTTTCCTTCTGTACTAAATAAACAGTCCTGCTCTGGCCTTAAACTTTACACTCATTTGAGATTTTTTACAATTTGAATAACTCATTTATTGAGCATCTATTACGTGCATCTCAATAACAACTTGTCAGTTTTCCAAATTCTACCCAACTGAGTGTCAGCATTTGCAGAAAATTTCTACCAGGGAAATGCTCAGCACTAGATATGAATGCTCTACCATTTTAATCTAAAGGATACTTTAGCTCTATAGCACAACTCAGCTGATTCATATTATTTAAAACCTCTATATTTCTAATTTGCTTAAGCACATTTATAAATCACTGATGCATACAAATTGTCAGTGCTGTTCCCTCACTTGACAGTGGATTTCCCCCATCCTCCTCCTCCTCCTCTAATTACTGTGCACCGTAAGAGCTGCTCTGGGCAGATTCCTTAGAGAACTGTGTTCTTCAGTTTAGAACATCTAAGGAGTGACTGACTGTTTACTCTTCTGCTATAGCATATTAGAGAAGTTACGTGGCTAAAAAGATTAAGACAACATGTTTCCTGGGGAGGGGCATGTATCTTATTGATAAGAATCCACTTCTGAGGGTAGAACAGAAGATGACCGCATGATTAAATAAAAAGAACTTGCACATCTTATAGGACTACTTGTAATCAGGGCTGACTTCATGGATGTAAGACCTGTGCAGGTACACAGAGCTTGACATTTAGAAGGCCCATCCTTGATTTAATGATCTGCTGCTGTCATCTTAAATTGCCACTAATTTCTAAAGAAGGGTTCCACAGTTTTCATTTTGTACTGGGCCCTGGAAATATGTAGCCAATCCATCTTAAATTTGAATGATGACTTAAATGTGTGTAAACTTAATCTTAGTGTCCACATAGTCTAAGCCTTAGTTTCTTCATCGTAACCAAAAGGATAATATCCAATGAATGAGGCTGGTGGGAATATTAGATGAGGTACCATATGTGAAAGTAATAAACATAGAGCATAGCACACAGGACAGAAAAGAGATGTGACACAGAATGAAGTCAGGACAGTTCTTGTTCTTAACTTCTAGAAACCACCATAAATCATTATTAGGGGTAGCAGAAATGGAAACTTTAATACTTACAACCCATATATTTGTGGTGCAATTTCTAGTCTGTTCAAGTGCATATAAAGCTCAATATCATGCTTCTTCAGTAGATGATCCTGGATCTGGTTAACTTTAGTAACAATAGCAATTGTTGGCCCTAAATCTTGTGGCCTAGCAAAGGGGATGGGGGTCATCAGTGTTTCTTTCCCCTAAAAACAAAGATAGGAAAAATAGAACATAAATTATTTCAATATAAATTAAGAAAAATAGAAACATCATTCTTGAATTTATCTATAAATGGAGTTTAAACAAGAACCACAACTACATCAAACATCTCATGACAAATGCTTAAAATGTTGAATCATATACTGACCATCATAGCAATAAATGTGCTCATATGGCAATAGCCAGGATACACCTTCTAAACCGTTACTCTATCTGTATTCCTGTTTCTCCTATGGATTAAGTTTTACAAGATAATCTTGGCTAGGAATAATGGTGGCCACTGTTTTCCACTTATTCATGGAGAGTTTATCTGCTCAGACTCAGTACATAAATAGCAAACTTTTAATGGAAACATTTCTTGTGGTTGTTGTTGTTGTTTGCCATTGAGTCGTCCCCGACTCATAGCGACCCCTCCTTGGGTTTCCGAGGCAGTATCACTACGGAAGTAGGATTGCCCAACCTTCCTTCCGAGATTTCTTATGGTATAAAACTTAAATATGAAAATGGTATTAATTTGAGTTGAGGGGCTAGCTCTCAAAAGTTATGAAAGGTAGGAAATAAAAGAAACTAGTACTAGAAACAGGATGTTCTCTAGTGACCCTTGGTCAATTTATAGAGTGGAGTAAAAAGACTTATCTCCCGATAAAACATATATATGACTTAACAAGGAAAGGTTTATGGAAGGAAACTTGCTTTGTTGTTTACCAAGGGTGGGAGGAGAGGGGAGGAAATACTGCAAAAAGAAAAAAAAAAAAAAAGGTACACTTTATGTTATAATAAATAAATAAATAATTAAAATTACTATGGGGGGGGAAGTATATATGACTTAAATACAATCTATTTTGGGCCAACTACAACTTCCCTCCTGCCACCCATAATCTCTTATTAAGAGAGATGTATCTCTAACTCCTTGTAATATTTTCATGTGAATTTCAATGATCCCATGTCTGATGAATTCTCCAATGACACTCATCATTCTTCTGACCTTCAGTCCACAAAATCTACCTTTCTGCAGTCACTATTTATAGCATCACTGTGTCAAATTTTTTTGACTATCACTCATTCTCAGTCTACTTCTCTAGCTTAAATTCATCTTTTTGTTTCTTGGTTCTGCCTTTTCCACAGAGTCTGGTTTTAGTTTTATCTTCTACTTATAAATCTTCCTTGAGCGATATCAAGTCCTACATACTGCTTCAACCAACATCCATTTTCTTAAAGACTTCCTAAACTGTATTAATAGCCTAGTACACTCCTGATTGCCTCCCATAAATTCAAAAGCTCACAAGAAATCTTGGACTGCCACAAAGGTCTCAAAAATTCAGCAGGCCTAAAACCAAGCTTATCATCTTCTGTTCAAAATATGTTCTTTCATCACGTCCACCTCACACCATCCTCTAGTAAAAACACCTAGTCTGCCAATGTTAGCTCCTCAGTACCTCTCCTATCTTCCACAGCCCTACTGTTACCGCGTGATTCAAGGCTCTAATAATTTCTTTCTTTTTAACTGGTTTAATCTGCTTTTGAATCCATCTTCTAAAACATGAGGTGATCTATTTAAACTCAGATAAACAGGATAATGCCAAATTGCCCTGCTTAAACCTCTTGAAAAGTTCTCTATTATTTTCACTCAGTGAAAAAATGAAAACTAATTTCTTAGCCAGATCTGCAAGCCTTTCATTATCTGGACAATCTCTATTCTCATGGGCTTCTAGAGGCTGTGAGGATACCATTCCTTTGCCGGAAATATATTTTGCCCAGTGTCTCCATTGAGGAGCTCTCAAGTATATTTCAAGATTCAGCTCAACTGTCAGATCTTCCAGAGAGCCTTCCTTAGTCCTATTTCTTTTTCTTCTCAGATGCTCCAGCCTCCTATATAATACTTCTCTCTTCTCCTAAACTGTGAGATATCTAAAAGGAATATCATTTTTTCAATGCTCAGCCAGATTCTGGGATACAAACATTAGTCTTGAGGTGAAGACTACAAAGAAAAAAAAATCCAGACTTCCATATAAGAGCATCAACTAATCAGGCTGGTAGAAGGCACAAAAGACAGGAGCAGCATGAACTACTATGAGGGAAAACTTCTCGTCTGTCCAAGATCAGTTCAAATCTTATAAAGAAAAACATTCTCTTATAGTTTCTCTAAGTGCCTATCCTAGGGTCTTCTGGGTCCAAAGAATGTTAAAATTATGTTAATTTTTATGGTTCAATCGTTTTGCGATAATGAAGCCTATATATTGTTGTTACTTACTCTAAAAGTAATGCACTGGCAACCCTTTTTTGCCCTGATTTTGCAATAGCTAGTATTTTCTTTTTATTAAAAAAAATTAAGGCTTATTAATTTTTTTCCTATTGATATTAATTGGAAGTATTTATTTTGGGGAAGTCAAGTTAATGGTAAGATAGCATTCATATTCAATAATACTATTTATATTAATGCCAAATTCTCATAAAAAATGACCAATTTAATATTTTATGCATTTTAGTAATATAGTTGTTCTGTACTGGAGGACTTTGTATGACAGAATACTGGCCAGAATAGGTACTGTGTTCAGGTAATGTTTATATATCATAGAAAACTGATACCTCTTATCTGTCTATAACAAGACCCTATATATAGGGTCTTGTGTAAACATACTTCTATAGAAATACTATTACAGGATTTGGAGAGAATTGATTCTAATAGAACCTATCAAAAATATTTAACTTAACAAAATCATATGATCAATTCCTATTTTGAATAAAGTACATTGTCATCAAATCAATAAAATATGTAGCCCCCTTTTCAAATACTTAATAGGGACTCATATTAAAAACAAAAAAACAAGAAAAAAAAAGAGAAAAAAAAAAAAAAACCTTGTCATCGAGTCAATTCTGACCTTTAGCGACCTTATAGGACAGTGTAGAACTATTCCACAGGGTTTTCAAGGCTGTAATTTTTACAGAAGCAGACTGCTACATCTTGGTCCTACAGAGTGGGGTTGGTAGGTCTGAACCGCTGACATTTAGGTTAGCAGCTAAGATAGTCTACTGAAAACTACAAGGTTGTATAAACTGTACTTTGAAAAGATTTCCTCTGTGCTCAGACTCCTTATAATAAAATCTCTTAAATCTAAGAGACTCAAAAGTAATGCTCATGATCACTTAAATGCTGTTAAACAGCTTAGCTTATCTAACAATAAAATCACAAAAGAAGATAAAGTTAATGTAAAATATTTCCTTATCTCTAGAATTTCTTATCATACCAAAGAATGCTATTTGCACTTATCAAATATGATCAAATGGGACAGCTGTAACTATCAGTAAAACTAGAAAATATTTTTAACTATTTCTTTAACATGCTACTCAAAGCGTGGTCTGCAGATCAGTGCCAATGCACAAACTGTTTGTTATAGGAACATAATAAGATAATGTTTGTGCCAGAATATAAACCAACACACTGCTTCTTTCATCAAGAAAGTATTATTATGAAAAGACTGTCTGCTGAACTAACCAGCATGGACTGTGATATAGTTGACTTTTCAAAGAAACTGGAAGAACCAAATAGGGAATACATGTATTAATTTCTAGAAGTTTTTCCAAAAGAGGTGACAGAATTATAAAGGAGAATAAAAAGGGGAGCATGAGAAAAGAATTCATTAGACATGCTTTTAGGAATATATTATTTACTGATACAGACAAGTAATTAACATGAAAATTCAGAAGTCGCATCTCTATGTTCCTTAATAAATTTAATATCTTTCTTTATGTTGTCTTAGCCACTTCCATAAACTTCACTCAGTAATATCAAGGAATAGGCAAAATTGAAAAATGGTAACCCTCACATTTTAATAGGAGCTCTGGTGGTGTAGTGCCTAAGACACTTGACTGCTAACCAGAAGTCTGGTGGTTCAAACCCACCAGCCACTCCTCAGAAGGAAGGTTGGGCAATCTACTTCTGTAGAGATACCCCTCGGAAACCCAAGGAGGGGTCGTTATGAGTCGGATCCGATTCAATGGCAGTGAAGTTTGCTTTTTCATATTTTAATCATTCAGTTTCTCAGACACTGTGACCTATTCATAAAATATAAAATGACTACTGCATGGAGTTATCATATTGCTAGCATTTAAATGTGTTCAAATACGCTCAGCTCAAAATGTTGAAGTTCACAAATAAGTCTATAACTTCATTAAATCACCTGGTAAGAACATAAAGATATTGTTTCAAAACATACAGTAGTTTGTTACTTATGCATATGACAGGTTTAACATCAAACAACCCTTTCAGGTTGGAAATGTAACATGTTAACATATTCCAAAGGACAACATTATCATTGAAGCCAGAGATCGGCAAACTTTCTCTGTGAACCAGATAGTAAATACTTTAGGCATGGCTGTGTTCTAGTAAGACTTCATTCATGGAGACAGAAATTAAAATTACACATAATTTTTATATACTATAAAATATCCTTCTCTCCCTCCACCCCCACAACCATTTAAAAATGTAAAAATCACTGTACAATCTGTACAAAAACAGACAGCAGGCTAGATTTTGTCTGCAGGCAGTAGTGTACCAACCCCTGACCCAGGTCAAAGGGATGAATAGCATTAGTTACCCACTTCATTTTTAAGAGATGAAATGACATGACACTAATATACGGGCTTCTAACCAGAATGCAATTAATTATACCAATATAAAGAAAGTTATCCATACTGGATAACTTTCTTCTTGCCAGAAGAATCTGCAATTTTTCAAATATTGTGCAATAACAATGAAAAGACAACACATAGATCTTTGTTAAAAAGTATAGTTAAATCTATCAATTCCACTCCTTAGGAATATACCAAGAGAAATGAAAACTACGTTCACACAAAAACTTGTACATGAGTGTACATAGCAGCAGTAATTGTAAGAGCCAAAAAGTAGAAACAGCCCCAAATATCTATCAACTGACGAATGGATAGACACAACATGGTAGACCCACTCAATGGAGTATACTTAGCCATAAAAAGGAATTAAGTACTGATACATACTACAACATAAATGAACATTAAAAATCATTATACTAAATCAAAGAGGCCAGTCACAAAGAACACTTATTGTGTGACTCCTTTAAGATGAAATGTCCAGAATAAAGAAATACACAGACACAGTCGTAGGTGAGTGTTGCCAAGGCTGTGGGTAGGGGAGAATGGAGCACGGGTTCGTTTGTTTTCTGGGGTGATGTAAATGTTTGGGAATTAGAGAGTGATGCTGTTTGCACAATCTTGTGAACATATCAAAAATCAATGAATTATACACTTTATACGGGTGAATTATATGGTATGTAAATTGCATCACAAAAAAACTGTAGTTATCATACAAATAGAAAGTAACGGCAAGGGTTACTGATGCTAAATGTGTGAATTCAGTAGTGATGCATTACCTTCTGTATATAAAACAATCTATTTGATCAGACTTACCTGTGTACTTTGGTAACAATGTCTATTAGTACACTAGCATAGCAAAGAATCAAACAGGCAGATGGACTTTTCCAACAAAGTTTGTAATGATCTTGTAAGTGAGAAGTTACACTTCATAGATAATATAAAAAGAAAAGTTTAAAGAAAAGCTTCTTATTTCTGGAAATAAAATCTTTCATATTGTCTTTTATAAATTCCAATGTTATTAGAGATACAGCTTACATGTCCTGTTCAATCTTACTCCAAAATTATTTTGACATTCTCATTTTCTGGTTATACTACTAATAATTAATAATTTATACTGTATACTTGTAATTTATACTAGTAATAGTATATATATATATATATATATATATATATATAGTAATTTACACTAGTAATTTATACTGATTATTTGGGATTACTTACAGAAATCTTGTTTCCTCAAATATTTGGAAAGATCTAAACTTGAAGACTTACCTTTTGACCATCATGCTCAAAAGTAGAAAACCACGGTTCAGCAGTTTCCATAAGTTGTGAAAACATTGCACTGAAAATTAGAAAAATAATAAATGCTCATGTTACACCTTCATCAAAGTAAGGGCAGTACAAAAGAATAAAACAAACAAAACAAAAAAATCGTTGTACTTACTAGGCATCATGTTCCAGAAACTCAGGGTTCAAGAGAGTTTTCATTTCCTCACTTAAAAAATAATTACAAGTAATCAAAGTGTGTACATTTTCATTTGAAAGAAATGCTCAGTTTATTCTACATCACAAACCAACTTTCATATAGTGTGCAAATGAAAAAAAAATCTTTTCAAAACAAAAACAGTAACTCCATTACTAAGTAAAATCCTTTCTATGAAGATCAAAACCAAATGAGCTGCCTTGTCTATTCCACAGTGAAGTTAACTATTTAATGATTCCAAACAACTAATACAGAATGTTACAATATAGTCCTTGAATATACTTGATCTAGAATTGATTACTACACAATCTATCACATGCTGCCCCAAAACAAAACAAAAATCATAGTTACTAGTCAACTACGCAACATCAAAACATTAACTTATTTTCTCTTAATATTACTATTTTTACTCCAACAGCACTTAACCAGTTACAGTACCTCTTAAAAATTTATTTTATGGTGCTGTTTTTACTTTTTTTATTAATTGAAATAGGTGAAGAAGCATGTCCAACTCACTGAAAGCTATTTTCAATCATTTCATGTGAAGTACATACACATGCATGTACATTTTGTAAAGCTAAAACTGGCACAAGAAAATGATTCTAATACCAACCTAAGTTCATTCCTATATTGTTATACTTTAGAAGTAACTGAAGCAAAGGCAATTAAGATATGGTTACTATTGTCAAAATAAGCCCAATAAAATCATAGAAGCTCCACGGAAACTTGAAAACACTAATCTATATAATAGACAGAAGTAAGTTTAAAAAAGACTCTAACGTATGCTCAGCAAAACAGATAGCTATATATGGTTAACAAAGATGGTATTGCCACATATTATAAGTTAGATTTTTAAAATTTTCTATATATAGATACATTAGCCTGTAAATTAAGGAGCTCTTGTGGTGTAATGGTTAAGGCATTTGTCTGCTAACCAAAAGGTTGGTGGTTCAAACCTACTACCTGCTCTGCAGAAGAGAGATGAGGCAGTCTGCTTCTGTAAATATCTACAGCCTTAGATATCCAATGGCAGTGAGTTGTCATTTTTTTTTTTTTTTTTTGGAGCCTGTGGATTACTCATGACAAAGTCTGACAATCCTAGAGCTTTCCACCCTCAAAATGCTTCCTGGTCATCTCTCTGGTTAGGGTATCTTAGTAAATGAACTCTAACAAATACCATTACTAAAATTTATTATTTTGTTGAAATAGTAATATGTATCTTAAAAACATGAGAAGCCATTTCTGTTTATTTACAGAATGGAGTTCTTTGTCACACCATTCCCTCTGTTCCCTCAGAACTGAGCTGAGACAAACCTGGTGCAAAGTATGTATCTCATATGTAAGATTCTCATGCAGCTTACTGTGAAAAAGAATGGACCACTAGAGGACCATATATCGAAATATCATCAATCATTAGCACCTTTGCTATTGTAACAAAAAATTCCTCTCCTTAATTCATTAAGTTATATGTTTTCCAGCACAGATGAAAGATTCTTAGCAATATTTATGATTCCAAATGTGCTCCATAGCAGAAGTGGGATTAAAACTATTAAATGGAATTTACTTTGGATCCTTCTAATTAGCCATATGAAACACAACTACATGTTTACAACTTACAAAAAGTTAGAAGTACCTTCAATTTAAAATATTTTGAGGTAAAAAAGATTACAGCAGGGCTGAATAAACAGGTGGTGCTCGTCTAAAAACTTGCCTGGGTTGAGCAGATTCACTAGCATGTAGGAAAGCCTGGTGGTCACAGTGGAGGATGAAGACTATAGGTGCCAACAGCTCGTGCATGCCCTGAAACATAAGAGCAAGGGAAATGGGAAGGATGGATTTTGAGAGTCCTTTAGTGTGTATTTTAAGCTCAGTATGACATTTCTTCAACTTACAGTCACCCGTGACATTACCATATTATTCAGAAAAGCATAAAAATGGAAAGCTAAAAAACAAGATTTTATCTACTTTTAGAATTTCTTTCCAATTCAACCACAGCACTCATTCTTTAAAACAGAGAGAGCAGTTTGCTTTTAAATAACACAACAAACAATAAATTGGCATGGTAGACAAGCTTGCACCTGTCAGTTGCTTCAAGATCTGTACTCATAAATATGAATTTCACTTATGCAAATTATAATCATGAGCTACAGTGTAAAGATCTGCAGTAAGAAGGGCAACTAAGAACTGTAGACCGAAGGAAATTACACCCAATGTTTTCATTATATAATGGTTCAAAATTAGGATGTCTGTAGATTTAGGAAGAGCTGAAGTCAGCTGGCTAGAAATGTTGGATAATAAAGGGAACAATCTTTAGCAGGTATGACAGAAAATAAAGTTTTTAAAATATGATTTTTAACATGTTTAATCAGAACACTACCATTAACTTTTTTCTTTCTATTTCACCTTATTTTAAATTATTTAGTGGTTTCAGTAACACAATTTTCTTTTTCCTTATTTTGGGGTTCACCTGTGGATCACATTCATAGGCACAGAAACAAAAGGTATAATATTAGTTAGTAAGCTGTCTTTAAAAGACTATTGTAAAAATCTATTATTTACCCATCATTGTGGAGAAATAAGTTATTCCACATTAGTGACTTACCTTGTTAATTGAGATTCTTTTCCCTTAAGCATCAAAATACATATTTTAAAAATTTAATAACAGATGATACTCATTTCTGTATCTTAAATTAAGTAAATTATCATTTAACTTTTGCTTAATAACTAAGGGTGATCTTTTATAAAATGACAAGACAAAATACCACTTTCTGAAGAAATTAAAAGAAAACATAGGAGCAGAAAACAGAGAAAGTACTGCTGGTAGAATTAGTGTAGGCTTCTTGTGAGCAGGAAATTGAAAGAAAGAGCTAACTGCCCTCTGCTAAACCCTATCCTACTTTTAGGAATACAGTTGATATCCCAAAGATAATACAAAAGTAAACTTAAACAGAGTTCTTTTGTAAGTTATTGCTAGCCTTGAATTAGAGGAATTTAATGACATTTTTACAAAATATTTTGTGAAACGATGATTTAGTATGACTTAGGACAGTGTATAACATATCACTTCAATCTTTTATAGGTAACCATCTCCTCACTAATGAAACCTTTATGAGACTATCCCTTAGTAGAACAAGATACCAAAACCAAACCAAATGCACTGCCGTGGAGTTGAATCCATCTCATAGTGACTCCTCCTTGGGTTTCCAAGGCAGTATTACTACAGAAGTAGACTGCCCAACTTTCCTTCCGAGGAGTGGCTGGTGGTTTTGAACTGCCAGCCTTCTGGTTAGCAGTTAAATGCCTTATGCACTATGCCACCAGAGCTCCCAGAATAAGATAGAGACCCAGAAAAAATAGAATTAAGCATTGCGCTGTTTTCAGCTACCATGGAGTCAGTCCATGATCCATAGTGACCCTGTGCACAAGTGGATGGACTGTTGTGATCCATGGGTTTTTCTTTGGCTGATTTTCAGAAAAAGATTGTCAGGCCTTTCTGAAGCATTGCTAAATGTGCTTTAAAAATCTTTATGAGGGGCTTATTCTCCTGCAATAATACACAATTTATTGCAGTAAGAAACTATCATAATTCTAATATCAAAGTAATAGCTACTTACTGCAGAAAACTACAGAAAATCCAAACCCCTCTGCCAAAAAAAAAACTAAAAAGAAAGAAAGAAAAGAAAAAAGGAAGAAAGGAAGAGAGAGGGAATGACACAAAGAGGGAGGAAAGGAAGGAAATAAGGGTGAATAAATTAGGAACTCTAACAGATATCCTTAAAGTAATCTTTTTGCCTATTTCTGGTTATTTCTTTAGGATAATACCCCTAGAAGTAGAATTCCAGAGTAAAAGGATAAAACTGTGTGTGTGTGCGTGCATATTCCAGAAAGAATTTCCTTGCTGTAGAGCATTAAAACTTGCCTTCTCACCACATCATCACCTATGTGCATAATGTTTTTTAAAAATCTTCTCCAATTTCACTGACAAATTGTTACTTTAATTTCTTCAAATGCTTGTGAAACTATACTAAAAAATTTATTGATTGCTTTTATGTAATGAGTTGCCTATTTCCTCCTAATGAATGTTTTCTTTGTGATTTGTGATACTCTTTCAACAACTAAGGATATTAACCATTTGCCTTTTAATTGTGACTACTATATCTATGACATATTAATGTTATATACATTAAAATAGTCAAGTCAATAAATTATCTTCATGGCTTCCTTTTTTGCTTTCATATCTAAAAAGATATTCCTTATCTGAGATTAGGCAAGCATAAAATTTCTTTCTTTTTCCCCCCAGTTCAGCGGTATCACTAGGATTGTTATCACCTAGTATGGTAACTCATGGTGTCACCGCCCTTATTGATCTCTTCCAGTACTAGATCACACAGGATCCTTAGTACTGTTCATGTTGTTGTTGTTATTTGCCATCCAGTTGGACCCGAGTCACAGCGACCCCTCCTTGGGTTGCCGAGGCAGTATCACTATGGAAGTAGATTGCCCAACCCTCCTTCCGAGGAGTGGCTGGTGAGTTTGAACTGTCAGCCTTCAGGTTAGCAGTTAAGTGCCTAGTACTGTTCATAATCAATTTTAATCACACAGTAAGATAAATATCATAAATTGCATAAATGTCATATTTACTAGATCAATAGCAATAAAACAATTATTTTGTAAAATCTTTCCACATTGAATTACAACACTGTAAGTCGCAAAATTACTGGTAACTGAGCAGAAACCTTTTTTGAGTTTTCTCCCTCATTTCTTATAATTACTACTTCATTCTTTAAAAAGTTATTGACATAGGTTCACAAATACTAGTTACAAGAATACTGTATCTAAAACAATAGAAAATTTCACAAAATCAGCAACTACAAAACCATTGGAAGAAATGAAAACAACAATGTGCCTTTGTAGTATGTGCAGATGAAATTTGGTGATTCAAAGCATCAATTGGTTAATAATGACAGCTCTGAGCGGAGTACATTACAAAAACAAACAAACAAAAAAATCCACTGCTGCTGAATCAGATCTGACTCATAGCCACCCCTCCTTGGGTTTCTGAGGCAGTATCAGTACGGAAGTAGATTGCCCAACCTTCCTCCCAAGGAGTGGCAGAAGGTAACCATGAGCCTTCTGGTTAGCAGTCAAATGTCTTAGGCACTATGCCACCAGAGCTCCCTGAGTGGAGTACATTAGAGGTTCAAAAAGTTAATTAGTATAGAGTTTGAAGCCTAGTAGGTATAATGTATAATGGTACATGTAACCCAGGCTTACAAAAAATGTTGTCACTACTGCAACTAACTACAGGGATGTTTAAAAAAATAATAAATTGCACTGAAACACTGCACAACAATTTTATAGACAGTCATTTTGGTGTCATCCCTGTGACAGTGTCACTTGGTGTGGTTTGCACCCTTGCATACCTCCCCGCCCTTGGCCTGGTGACACTATTTCAGTTAAATCTTCACATAACTGATATTAATTTAAATTTTACCATGAGGAATAAATGTATTTATTTATTTATTTATTTGCTTCAAAAGAGTTAAAAACTAACTTACTGAATAATCTCTATTTACCAAATAACTTATTTCTCCCAAGCGATCTGAAATAACATCTTTACCATAAATTGGCTATTTAGCTTATTTTTTCTGCGCTTTTATGGCTATTATCATTGGTTTATATATTCTTAACCAGAGCTGCAGTAGTTTAATGATGTGAGTTTCAAAATGTTCTAATTTCTTGCAGTACAACTACTCCAAATTTTCTACTCTTTTTTCAACATTATTTTGCCTATTCTAACTCATTCATTTTTCATCTAGGTGAACTTCAGTATCATTCAGTTACATAAAATGTTAAGCAAAACTGTAATTTCTACTGGTATTGCATTAAAATATACAGATTAACTTGAAGAGAATCGCTATTTTTAAGAACACTGAATTTCCCAATCCTAAAATCTATAGAACTGCTTAACTCTTATTAGGCTTATTAGTAGATTTTCTCATTGGTGGTGGGGTCTTTTGAATGGATCTTTCCCATCGCCCCTCAGTACATTTTCTAACTAATTTTGGCTAGTTTATAAGAAAGAGCTCATGTCTTAATACATTTCCCAACTTTCTTTAAATGTTCCTTTCCCTCTATTTTTTCTGTGACACTACTTTCCATATCCTCCACTTGTTCATGCATTGTTCATCATTCATGATTCCAAAAATTATTTCTTAAATGCTTATGAGGTGCTAGGCAGTAGAGACACAAAGGTGAATGAAATGGGCAAGTTCCTAATCTTTATGGAACTTGCAACCTGGGCAGGAAAACACATAAGTAATAAAAAAAGCACTTAAATTACAATTGTAAACTCCAACAAGTGATGTGTGTGCATGTGTTTGTGTGTGTGTACAGAGAATGAGATACGGCGAGAGAGAGAGGAAACGAGACAGCTTGACCAAGTGCAACTGCTTCCCTATTACTGTAAGCTCCCTGAAGGTGTGGGCGATGCATTTCATCTATTTTTAAACCAAGTTCCTTCTATAGGCACAGCATATAGTATGTGCTCACTACATGTCACCTGAATGAGTGAAATATCTACTTATCAGTATATTAACATGTTGATAAAAATTACATAATGAAAAAAAGGAAAAAGAACACCACCAAATCTTATTTCAATTTTTAGATCATTAAATAAAGGTGTTCTGTATATAATGCAAATTAAGAGTCTCTGAACACTGCAGAATGAGCAGTTATGACAATCTCTGACAAGTCCAATTTTGACTTCTAGCCATATTAGAAAGATTTTTTTTTTCCTA